AGGAAATTTTTAGTGAATATGTCCTTTTTTAAGTGAGGGAAAACACAAACAAAGTTTGGAAAACTGAATTCCCTATATCTCGTCAAGTTAATTTTGTCCTCTCTTTAAAAAATTCCAGTTTTTAATGGCATTATGTATTCATGCACTGTGTTTAACCATAGTGTGTAGAGTTTAAAATAAAACATATCTTCTCTGTGTGTATTCAAGGAGATTTATATTTATTTTAAAAAGAGACTGTAATTAAATTATCAGTATTTTCGAATATCAAATGTGGGCATAATATTCTTTAAATAAACAAAAACAAATATATTCTTTGTTTCTTTTTTGATTAATCATGCAAAACGAAAGTCGCCACTTTTGAAGAGTTAGATATGTTGTTACATTCTCCATGTTTCATTTTCCCTGTTTTGTTAATACAGTCCAAAGATGTAGTTGTATCATTGTATGACACTTTGCTACTAAATAATGTTAACTTTGATGATTACGTGATGTTTAATTATATTTGAATGTATGTATTTTATGACCATGTGCATTTTGTACACGTCTTATATGAATAAACTATCTATCTATCTATGTTGTTACAGTGTTAAAGTTCAATGTTACCTTTAATGCCATGGTTTCAATGTGTTACTGTTGACATTTAACCAGTTTATCAATATAAGCCAAAGCTTATGTGTATTAACATATATCATAAACAAACATGCTTTGTTACATAAAAATATACTTAATGCTACCTTAAAACACTGCAATGATAATATTCGGAATTTCAGCATCGTTGTTAAAGATTTGCATGAATTCACGTATAAGCTTTTTTCTCTGACGTAATTCCTACAAACTGAATTGGCGTTAAAAAAATCACTATGGCAAAACATGTTGTACTTAGGACAATGGCAAAACATGTTGTACTTAGGACAATATATTTGTATTCCTGATATGAAAATTACCAAGACGTTAACATCATGCTCACACTTCTATAAGTTCAGGCATTTCAGGAGATTTATAATGTGTAATGAGCAATTTCCCTTACTTGTACTACCATTTAATATGAGAACGGTACAATAAGTTGTTTTTTTTTTAAATCATGATGAAAACCTGTCAAACAAGTTATGTTTGTATCGTATATTGCCAGTTCTAGAGGATATTTAGTTGCTTAGGTTTACGCGAAATGTTGCACCGTTCAATGGCTCCAAGTAATACTTGAAGGCATAACGAGTCTGCAAAGTTTGCTAAATGTTTTATTATTTTTCTCAAAAGAACGTTTCATCTATTTTTCAAAGTCATGCTTTCAATTGACCCCTAATTCCAATATTTTAAATTTGGTACCCCAAACATCGTTTTCACGATGTGAATTTTGTTCAGTCTTAAACGTGTAAATATCTTTGTAACATACATGGTTATAAGAGAAAAATTTAAATGCTTATCATTTGGAAACCCATTGATTTCTTTAATATTGATACATTTACAAGAGCAATTGGCTAAGGTTTGAGGTGTATATAACTTCATATATTAATAATATTAAGAAATTATTATTTTTTTTGTTGAGCATTTTGGTATTTTCTTTGATGTTTGGATATGTTAGCGCTTGCTTCGTGAGTTTAAGCCTAAGAAATGCAAATGAATATTAACACCTACAGTAAGACCATACATGCTGTAACACATTAATATACTAATTCTCTGTAAAAACTCTTTGCAATATTAATATTCAATATTTATATTAGCGATTTGCATAAATTAGCATTCTCACGAACATATGTCGTCTGCGTAATCCCCTCAGCGTTCATTTCGAGTTATTGCCCGGGATCAGGTATACAACCAAGCTGTGCATCTAAATGAAAGATCTGTGACACCAATATCAATACAGTTATCACCTTTTTTTTGAAAATCAGTGAAAAATCTTACATTTCCGGAGGCGTTCGTTAATAGATGGTGAATATGATACGTATATATACACAATGTGGATCGACCAGTGGCAATGAAATTTACGTCGGTAATTAAAAATACGTCAAACAGGCGGACACAGCAGACAATATTGACCAAAATGACGCATCATTGTGGTAAAATAATAAAGATTTACAATAATAAAGATTAATATTGGTATTTCAATTGTAGATACATGATTTTTCTTTATACAGAAATACAACACGCAAATATTGCATTGTTGCGGGAATGTACATGAAAAGTTAAGACTGTATATAGAGAATGCAATATGGTATTTATCGGCAGATGTTGTAATCAAAGTATTTTTATTGGTAGTATAATTGTATGAATGGGGACATGAAATGTTGGCAATAAGTGACAGGTTTCCTTAATGTCAGCTCCTTTTCAGAGTCATTTCAGCACTTTCTTGAACATATATATCAGCTCCTAGTGCGAGCAGTATTAAGAACAAATGCATTCGCATTTTGCCTACAAAAGATATATTTTATATCCTGGGAAGTACTGTATAATGTGGTAACTATGGTAATATTTTTATCATAAAATGTAAAATTAAAGTAACTAGCATTATACATATAAGTAGCATTACACTTTCTACCACTCACAAATAAGTGCAATCGTGTTGATTAATACCTGTATTAAAGTATCAAATTGACACAGCGGGCATTGAATGGTGTAAAGAGTTTGCATAAGGTCTCCCAGAACGCGATCCCAGTGGTGTTACATTTTCTGCTTCTTTGATATTGTAAATTAAATACTACTCAAGTCTGTCCTTTGGATAAAAGTTGTGTTGTTTTTGTCATTATGAAGACAACAGTATTTGCTCATGACATGAACTAATGTCACCCAATTTATGTTTTCGTTGCTTTTGTCAATTACTCAAAAGCTGGGATGCATGATTGTGTTCTGATTTGGTTAGGTGCTTTGTTCTATTTTACTGTGTGATTTTACTGTGTGGTTCCACGATGGTGACCCGCTGCTTACCTTACAGCATTACATAACTAGTTTCCGTCATCATATGGTTAGTTTGGTGCTCATTCGTTTCTATTTTGTTTATTACTTATTCCCTTAACTCAATGACAACCCTTTTTACTACCCTTACCAAGTTAATATTATATTGATATCATAACTGAGTGCTAATGCCTTTGCGTAAATGTCCATGTATTAAATACAATTCATAAGCTCTGTTTCTTTTTTTACGTTGCTTTTCGTTATAGACCTTTACTTGAAGATTTTCTTCTTATTAAATTTATGAGGACTCACGTACCTGAGAAAAGGCAATGTTAACATATTATCGTCAATATTTCGTTTTAAGCATCAGTTTCAATCATTCACGAGATATTGATTTTAAACTTAATCTTCGTATCGATACATTGGGCATCTCTAAACCTTCTGAAAGGATTTAATTGACAATTTTATAAAGCATCATCGAGGATGCATGTTAATTAAGTCGATGTCAATAAAAAATATCTCCAAGTTGTTCTATGAAGAATTAATCCTTGTTATAAATCACAAATACGAAAGGCTATTCGTGTCTTGAGTTTTAAATTATTTTAGTGACTCGGACATTATAAAAATCGAAAGAAAACTACCCGGTGGTGATCAAGTTTAAAGTTGAAATAATCAATGTGGTCAGTGTATTTGATAAGATGAACTATATAATTATGATATGGCAGGCAAGCATACAATCTATTTACCTATATCATATGCAAAATAAATAAATAAAAAGAAGAAGAAGCAATGACTTCATTCTATTTCAGTTTTGTTTAAGACAAAAACCGTGCTGCTCTGGCAGTGCAACTGTGTCATCCGATGTGTTCCGTTTCTTTTAGTTTTGGTTCCATTCAATATTATGAAAATGTTAGTACAAAATATTATAAACAAATAGTTTTATTTTCAGTATACAATGTAGTTTTCAATAATTGTTCTCTGTGTTACCGAAATATAACAAATGTTACTCATTTTATAGCAAAAGAAAATTAAACGGTTCGTTTTGAAAAAATATCATAGGTAGAATATACAAAGGTATTTAAAGGATTTTTACATCGTTACCATGCAACCAACTTAAATCTTTATAGATTTACATGTAATAAAATCAACAGTTTTAAATCGGAATGAGAAAGTATACATGTATTTACATATGCCCCTATCGTGTAATATGGTAACGTTAATCACTGCTGAGACTATGATATTGTACGTCAAAAGTTGTCACAATATAGCCAATCAATTGCAATATATATAGAGGATATTTGTTTAGTTCAGTGTAAGATCGGAATATATTTCACCGAGTGAGCACCAAAAGGTATATTTCACGAGTGGCGTAGCCACGAGTGAAATATGAACTTTTGGTGTTCACAAGGTGAAATATATTTCAATCTTACACTAAACTAAACAATTTTTATTTTTATTAAATGCAAAGGAACGTTTTACCTAATACTGAATGAAAAGCGCGCCAAATAATAATACAAAGTGACGTCATTTACGACGTCACATCATTAAGTTGGTACCCAGTACTGTGCACGCTGGTATTTCACTGAAACAACGTAAGGGGCTAAAATTCAAAACAGTGAAATTATCAAAGTGGTAATTTCACTGTTTCAAACAGTGAAATTACCAGTTTTATGTTACTGATATATTTCTATAAACCACCGAAAAGCATGTAATAAACTCTCAGTATTTTTCTATACGTTAACGTCATGCAAGGGACGTAAAAGAAATGTCATCTATATCGATACGGCCACGAGTTATTTCCCCTACTTCAACAAACGTGAAATCATGAAAAGGTGGAATAATGCGCTACATTATATTTTTTGCTGATCACAACGAAGCAGCGATCATAATAGCTCGATTTTTTCCCCGAAACAAACGAGCTAAATACTATTGTTCATCACGAGGTTGTGATTGTAAATTAATATTTTGGTAAATATATTTAACATATTTTGTCCATTTCAATGGTAAGCAAGAAGCGGTTCCCAGTCAAACGTGAATCAAACCTGCAGTCAAGTCATACTTTATATGGTATACATTTTCTCATTTTGTATGATATAAAGATTTAACAGAGCCAATACAATTTAAAATAATTTATTTCATGTCTCCTTTTACATCAACATAATTATTTCAACTCACATTTAAATAAAATTAGAACATATTGTAACTACAAAGTAATCATACATTACTAACTAAAACTCATCTTATGCAATGTAACCTTTGTATAACAACTGTCATATATTTGTTTGTGTTCATAACGAAAAACTTCTGTATTAACTATTATACCACATGTTTGATGGCGATCTTTCACATGATATCATGATTGCTGTAGTTATTGTATATAATCTGAACTTCCATGATTTTTTCCTGCATTTGGTAAGTTTAAGGAGTTTCAGCATCAAATTCTAAAATTAAAATTCTAAAATTTATCAGTTTACAGTGTATAGAACCCAAGTGATCACACTTGCAAATCTAGTTCTACTCTAGTAACATAAGCAAGTCTCATATGCCAGCTCTCTCAGACAATAAATCTCTAAAACTAATTTCATATTCACATTATATTATCCTACCATTTATTTATGTCCAAATCATTTTAAAGAATTATTCATATACAGTTTTCTTAGGAAAGAAACAGCTTCATACAACTTACATCCATTTAATGTTTTATGTTTATTCAGTATAATATAATCATATTCTTAGTCAATGGTATTATATGTAAGTTTTACAATTTAAGTAGTCTAAATATAGTTGTTTTCATACCTACTTATTAAATGCTAGGACATTTATCAACTCATGATAATTTTCCTACTCAAAATAACCATAGCAACAAGATATATATGAAAAAATAAACAATGCAAAGGTAGCATTTTCTTTCATAAGCCTTTAGTTAAGACACTTGACAAATTGGATATTCAGGTTTTAAAATTCTTATATTGATAAAATTCTGAACCTACACATGTACAAATCTAATTTTTTAGACAAGTATCTGTCTAAATTCATCCACACAATTTCCCTTTTACATTACCAGCATTTGCAAATCTTTTATCATCCATACATGTACAACTGATTCAATTCTCAAATTTTCTGATAAAATTACTTTCAGAATATTTCTGACAAATTTGTTTGCTTTTCTTTTAATTCCCTGAATCTCTAATACTAGAGTCCTACCTGAACAACAAACATAACCTTCTATATATACATATAAAATCAGGAAAATTTATACAATACATTCAGGCTACATTATTATCTTATCATATATATTCTACTCCATGATATAAACACATGATGTAGCCATTCAAATAAAATGTCAAATATTTACAATGACCTTTTAATAATTTTTTTCACTCCATTTTTTTCTATCGTCAATGTGTTTGAAAAATATACACCTTTTAAGTTTTTTTCACTATATTTTCTCTATTTTTCTATTGTCAATATGTTTGAAAGATACCACCTTTTAATAATATTTCACTTTATGTTCTTTTATGCCAATATGTTATTTTGAAAATATCAAATATTTTTTTTGTTTCCTTCATAGTCATGTTTTCTTTTTTAACAGGTTAGCAAAGGGTCAATCAACTTTTCTCCTTCGATTCTGTGATATTGTTTGCAAATCGCTACATTTATTCAACTGCTAGATTCAAAAGTTGAAATTTCAATTGATTCCTTTCCAGTAGTCTTCTTTAGAAAAAAATAAATCCAACTTATCCTCATTCTTGTTCCATGGGTTCACTTTCGTCAGATGTTCCTTTCTGTTCTGCAGCTTCTGTTTCTTTATTTTCAACTGATGTTTCAGTATCCATCATTTCAGCACCAGAGTTGTCCTCCTTTTGTTCTTTACAACCATTTTCTTTTTCTTTTTCAGGTTCCTCTTTGTCTTTAGATTCCTGAACAGAAATAACACTTTCAGAAATATCTGTATCAGTTTTTGAATGGTTTTCTCCAGATGTGTTTTCAGTTGACTCTGGTTTCTCTGTTATTTGCAAGCTGTCCTCTGATTGGCTGTTTTCTACTGTAGAGCCTTGTGTCGTCACTTTTGATTGGCTATCTTCTGTGGCAGAAGAACTTTCTTCTTGTAGCTGTGTAGGTTCATCAGATTCCTCTGATTTACTCTTATCTTCCTGGGACTGTTTCACTTTCATATCTTAAAGGAATACAAAATAGAACATAATTGTGGTTCACCCATTAACTTAAGTTGTCTACCATTTTTTTATTTTAACATATAATATTGTAATATTTGTAACCAAAATGTCTAGTTATAATTGTGAAATGTATGACAACAGTAACATGTTAAAGTCTTATGAAGTTGTTGTTTAAACATTCATACAGATTGTTTATATTATCACAAACTTTTGAAAACATTATTCATTATTCTGACCATTCTATATAATTATTTCTCTACAGAACACACAGCACTATCCTCTGATTTAGGTATACATGTATATTCTTTTTCAAATATTTTCAGGTTAAACAAGAGTGATTTTACAGAGGAACAGTGCAAAGAACAAAATACTGTGTTTGAAAAGAACTTTTTGTGACGTTTTTGTGAATATTTTGTAGCAACTGTGACCAAATGCAACAGAACATAATTATTTTGAAAACAAAAAACAGCCATGCATATACAATGTAGTTGTATTGCTATTGGATATTTTTTGGTAACTGTAAGAAATATTCAACAACAATTATCTCAGTGATAGTGTTTTACCACATGTAAAATAATAAAACTGTTTTAACAATATTTAATTATCAAAGGGTTTTGCTCAAATATTCCGACATTTATATGACATTTCCATTGCATTGCTGTAAACTATTAAAGTGGATTGGTGCATAATGGAAGGTCTGTAATACTATAAATAACTTTATTGATAGTATTTAGTATCACACATGACAACAAATCACGAAAGAATTATAAAATTGAGCCACATCATGACAAAACCAACATAATGGGTTTGCAACCAGCATGGATCCAGACCAGCCTGCACATTTGCGCAGTCTGATCAGGATCGATGCTGTTCGCTTACATTCTCTATAGCAAGTAGAGAAACTGATAGCGAACAGCATGGATCCTGATCAGACTGCGCAGATGCGCAGGCTGGTCTGGATCCATGCTGGTCGCAAACCCATTATGTTGGTTTTGTCATGGCACGGCTCAAATGAATGTTGTTGTTAAGTGTGAAATACTTGATCATTATTGGGATAATACATATCTATCTACGATATTAGCAGTAAAAGAGTTTTATATAATCAAAAATAATATTTATTCATATATAAAATGTTTCTAAACGGAGGATTTTTAAATAATGTAAGTTAATATCCTTGGGAATTTAAAAACCAAGTTGAATTAAAATTTTTTAACTATGCCTTAGCCTGTGCCGATATAATTGAATTAAATGGTTGCCAGGATTTTAATATTATTTTTTCCAATGAGTTTCAAATAAATTCAGTTATGGAACCTGCCAAATATAGTATTCTAATTTATCACAATAACCCCCAAATTAAGACTGTTTTAAACCCCAAAAAAAAAAAAATCATTTTTTTCAATTGACGGGCCTTTAGTGTAATGCTAAACATGTTTGCGCGCGTCTTTATACTAGTTTGTTTAAGGCAATTGTGTCAAGGGTCAAAAATATATGCACGGCCATGCTGCACGGGTATGTGATAAATCACTTTATCACCTTTTTTTTTTCAAAGAAATATTTCATAACAATATCCAAAAGATACATTTCTAACGTTTTATCAATATTTGAAATATGTATGGAAAATGTGCACAAAAACTGTTGACCAATCCACTTTAATAAGAAGCAACAATAAAAGAATGTCTATCAGACTACCTTGTGTTAGTGTTTGTTCACATGTTGTATTGCCCTGAGATGTATCTACTGTTGTATCTTGAACCTGACTTTTATCACTAGTTGGTCCCTCTGTTGCTGCTTCCTTTACACTACTGTCTGACTCCTGGCTTTCATCAGAATTATCAACCTTCAGCTGTAATTTACAAATTCAGATTACATAGCTAGAATTGTGATTACAAGTATAAAGCATAAAGTATACAGAAAATTAGGACAACAATTTTATAATCAAAGCGCTGAAAGCACTGCTGGGGGCGCATTATGTTGATTGTATAGTGGTCTATTGTTACAAGCAGATGCCATTCCTACTTTCAAAGCAGATGTCACATTTTTACTCGATTATTCGATAAGAATAAGTAGAATTATCCTAGTCATCTGAACATTGGCGTCTATCACCTCAATTTTTCCCGAAGTCCATTGACATATGGCATTGAAACTTTGCACACTTGATCCCGATCAGGCACCCATTTGTTAAAGATTGCCTATGGCTTCAAGATATTTTCGTATTCCATAGACATCTGGCTTTGAAATAAATTGAAATGTTATACATTTCTTTGCGAGCATACTAGCTAGGACTCTCTCCAATGCTTATATCTGTAGAATATTGGGTTTAAAGAAATTTTTGGTCCTTTTGTGAACTTAAAATATTTTAAATAACCAAGGTTCTTCTATTGTCAAGCACTAAGCATATAGTAGAGTGTGCTGTCCTACCAACAGCTATTGTTTGCATACCTTGTGAAATATAACTCCTTCAAACTTTTGTTCAGTTATTATTATACAAACACAAGAACTGTCTGAGGACAGTAAGGCTCGACTATTCGAAAAAGTTGTCACAAGGGTGTTTATTGAGTATAAAAATGCTTACCAATGAATACATAAAACTGACCGAAAAGGTACAAAGGCTTGGATTAAGATGTTTTATCAAGTAAATCACTGCTTTATTATCATGAATGCATAAAATTGTCCCAAAAAAGGCACAAACCCTTCAGTAGTTATGGAGATAACATGCTTACAAGCAAAACTTTACCATTAAATTCTAAGTTGAAAAAGGGGAGAAAAATAAGCCTAAATTCTCGATAAAATTATGGATCTTGGTCAGTAACCTACATGTACAATTATGACCCTAAATGCATGTGAAGTTTTAATATTGTAAGCAGAGTTATCCAACTTGTCAATCTGATGTACATTGTTACTATAAATAACTATTGTAAGTTTCAATTGAATATCTCAAGCAATAATTGAGATATTTGACTTTAAAATAAACTTAAACCAACGCAGACGCGGACGCTGGGTTACTACAATAGCTCTCATATTTTTCAAATAGTCGAGCTAAAAACTACCAAGTCATGGTTGAGACCATATAGTTATTCCATATATAAATATATATGTATATATCATGGAAAACATTTCAAGATGTTACAATGGATTGTAGTGTATAACAAGAAAATCAGTGTACTTTAACTTTAATCCAATAATCATACAAACATCTGTAAATAACTGGAACAAAATATTTCTTAAATAAAACCATACAAAACAAGAGGGCCATGATAGCCCTAGATCACTCACCTGACTTATCTCAAACTCATCCAAACAATTACCTAGACAAACATTCTGACCAAGTCTCATGACAGGTGAGTCAAAAATGTGACCACTACAGTGTTAACAAGGATTATCCATATTTGAGCAGTGCGACTTGTTTTTTACTCAGGTGACACATATTCAAACTTGACCTAGAAATCATCAAAACAAACTGTCAGACCAATTTCCAGGATACTTGGATCAAAACAGTAGCAACAAGAGTGTTAACAAGATTTTTCTATTTTTAGCTCCGGTGACCTAGTTTCACATGCGATTTCGAACTCATCCAAGCAATTACCTAGACAAGCATCCTGACCAAGTTTGATGATAATTGAGTCGAAAATGTGACCAGTAGAATGTTAACAAGGCTTTTCCATATTTGGGCGGTGTGACCTAGTTTTTCATCCAAGATGACCCATGTTGGATCTTGACTTAGAAATCATCAAAACAAACTTTTAGACCAATTAACAGAATATTTGGATCACAACAGTAGCCACTAGAGTGTTAACAAGATTTTTCTATTTTTATCTCCTGTGACCTAGTTTTTCATCCGAGATGTCCCATGTTCGATTTATTCCCAGCAATGACCTAGGCAAGTTTCCTGACCAAGTTTGCTAACAATTGAGTCAAAATTGTGACCACTAGAGTGTTAACAAGGTTTTTCTATGTTTAGCTCCTGTGACCTAGTTTTTCATCCGAGATGACCCATTTCCGAACTCATCCGAGCTATCACCTAGACAAGCATCTTAATCAAGTTTGATGATGACTGATGCAAAAATGTGACTGCTCGAGTGTTAACAAGGTTTTTCTATTTTTAGCTCCGGTGACCTACTTTTTCATCCGAGATGACCCATGTTTGTACTCATCCGAGCTATCACATAGACAAGCATCTTGACCAAGTTTGATGATGATTGATGCAAAAATGTGACCGCTAGATTGTTAACAATGTTTTTCTATTTTTAGCTCCGGTGACCTACTTTTTCATCTGAGATGACCCATGTTCAAACTCATCCAAGATATCACCTAGATAAGCATCTTGACCAAGTTTGATGATGATTGATGCAAAAATGTGACTGCTAGAGTGTTAACAAGGTTTTTCTATTTATAGCTCCGGTCACCTAGTTTTACATCCGAAATGACCCATGTTCGAACTCATCCGAGCTATCAACCAGATAAGCATCCTGACAAAGTGTGATGATGATTGGGTCAAAAATGTGACCACTAGAGTGTTCACAAGGTTTTTCTATTTTTAGCTCCTGTGACCTAGTTTTTCATCAGAGATGACCCATGTTCAAACTCATCCAAGCAATTGACTAGACAAGCATTCTGACCAAGTTTGATGATGATTGGTTTAAAAATGTGACCACTAGAGTGTTCACAAGGTGTTTCTATTTATAGCTCCTGTGATCTACTTTTTCATCAGAGATGACCCATGTTCAAACTCATCCGAGCTATCACCTAGGCAAACATCCTGACCAAGTTTAATGATGATTGGGTCAAAAATGTGACCTCTACAGTGTTCACAAGGTTTTTCTTTTTTTTAGCTCTTGTGACCTAGTCTTTCATCTGAGATGACTCATGTTCGAACTCATCCATGCTTTCAACTAGATAAGCATCCTGACCAAGTTTGATGATGATTGAGGCAAAAATGCGACCGCTAGAGTGTTCACAAGCAATTGTGGACGGACGACGGACATTCACCGATCCTTAAAGCTCACCCTGAGCAAGCTCAGGTGAGCTAAAAACCAAAAACTGATGATGACAGAACGGGTATCACTTTATGCCTATAAAATTTTTTTTGCTCAAGTGATTTTTTTTCAAAGAGCTACATGTGAAATTGCTGCCAAATATACATAAGTAAAATCTATTTCAAAGCTGCATGCATTCATATAAATATATTTTAAAAAAATCAAAACTTGATTAAATAAAAAAAATGTTCAAGGATAGCCCAAACTTGTTTTAATTATAAAAAAATATATATACAGAATATTATGTTGTAGTAGCTCTCTGAGGCTTTTTATTTTGCTATGAGCAGCGGTGGGAAATTGATATCTTGCGAGACTAAAGGGCGAGCTAGATAACAATTTTCCAACATTGCAAGTAGAAAAAATGCATAGCCTCAGAAAGCTACTACAACATAATTTTCCTTTAATAATATACCTTTTCGTTTGAAGTATAAATGATTTTCATTATACTACACTTATATAAGAAATTTCAGAAAAAGAAATGTAGCTGTCAAGAAATAAATTATGACTGACAGATGAATACGTAATTTGTGCAAAACCAGCCACACCTTTTATTATTTTGGTTGCCGTTTCCATATACTATGTTATACACAGCTAAGATCAGAACCAACATTAACAAGAACCGGTTGAACCGGGTGATGCTCCCCGAGAAGGTTCTGGACACTGGAAAGTATAAAAAAAATGAACAAAGGGCAAAAACCCCAAAATTAGGCAAAGCAGAGTTATGTTTTTTTTTGCACTGCACTTCTATTCAATTAGATCTATCCATCTATAAAGTTGCCTGATGATATCAGAGTTATGTCCAAGGTAAAATTCAAAGTGTAAAAATGAAATAAGGGTAATAACTCCAAAATTAGACCAGGCTTTCTTTAGGTTCTTTAAGCATTGCAGTTCTATCCAATTATATCTAGCTACCTACAAAGTTTCATGTTGATATCTCTAATAGTTTTAAAGTTATGTCTCGAACAAAAGTCAAAAAGTAAAAATAAACAAAGGGCAATTACTTCAAAATAAGGCAAGGCAGAGTAATAATTCTTAAGCACTGCTTAGAGTAATGTCCCGGACAAAGTTCAAAAGTGTCAAAATGATCAAAGGGCAATAACTCCAAAAGTAGGCAAGACAGTGTTACAGTTCTTGTGCACTGCAAACTTACTAAACGATATCTATCTACCTACAAAGTTTCATGTTGATATCTCTTTTACATTGAGAGTTATGTCTCGGACAAAGTTCAAAGTGTAAAAATAAACAAAGGGGGATAATTCAAAAATTAGGCAAGGGAGAGTTAAGGTTCTTGTGCACTGCTTACCAACTCAATGAAATCTATCTACCTACAAAGTTTCATGTTGATACCTGTTATAGTTTTAGAGACAAAGTTCAAAGTGTAAAATAAAGAAAGGGGGATAATTCAAAAATTAGGCAAGGCAGAGTTACGGTCCTTGTGCACTGCATACCAAGTCAATGAGATCTATCTACCTACAAAGTTTTCATGTTGATACCTCTTATAGTTTAAAGGTTATGTCCCGGACAAATTTCAAAGTGTAAAATAAACAAAGGGGGATTATTCAAAAATTAGGCAAGGCAGAGTTACGGTTCTTGTACACTGCATACCAAGTCAATGAGATCTATCTACCTACAAAGTTTCATGTTGATACCTCTTAAACTTTTAGAGTCATGTCCCGGACAAAGTTCAAAGTGTAAAATAAACAAAAGGGGAATAATTCAAAAATTAAGCAAGGCAGAGTTACGGTTCTTGTGCACTGCACACCTACTCAATTAGATCTATCTACTTACAAAGTTTCATGTTGATACCTCT